CCCACACCTATACACCTCCCTGTTGGAATCATACCTTCAATGTATACTTTTAGACAATTCAAAAATTTTCTAAAGGTTCCTCCTTCGTTTTAAACATTGAAATGGATCAGTCACACCCATACATTATATTCTTATCAGAGGATATCTATAGTCAAAGGAGTTTAGTCGATAACTATAAATAACAGTTTAATTGTAGTCTCGTTTTCTTGAACTACATTAAAGCAGTGGGCAGACAAAGGCAGATGATGATAATATTGAAGGATAAGCCTAATAATATCAAAATTGTTGGATAATTTGTATATGCCAATGTTGTTTACAACCTTTTAATTGTTGTATATGTATACCTACAAGAGAAGAACGAATAGATTGATGCGTAATTTGATCCTTTATATTTTTTAACATGTCAGGTGCGAATAAAAGGGTATTAATATGTTTCACAGTGAAACTATCAGTTTAACGTAATTCCAACAGGAGACGCCGTGCACCCTTAGCCTACCATTTTCTGTACTCCACCCTGTAATGTCCTACCTTCCCGCCGTCCCACTATCCGGTCATCCCACGAGTCCGCTGGTATGAAGTTAACATTTTTTACTCTAATTAGATTAACTTATGTGCACATTATAATTACTTTAGCAGAAATTAATGTACGCTACCACTAATATAAATGTCTGTGAAATAACTTAGTTTCCGTAGGTATTTGTACTAATTATGCACCAAGCACCGCATGTATGATCGTGGGCCTACGCTCGCTACCAATTAATGATAAGCATCATAGTATTTTATAGTTGTAAATATTGAAATGTTTTTGTAGGCTCTGCTGTAGATATTCTGTAACGCTTGTCATTAGGACATTTTCATTTCAAACAATACGCATTGATGATGAAAAGAGAAAGTTGTTGAATAAATCCGGAACTACCCACAAAATTTTAATTATTTTTTATTACAAACGCGAGAATCATCTACGTTAGTGCAATAACTACGAGATAAATTTACATTAACTTTGAAAAAAGATATTATTGTCATTGTAAAAGAATGATAAAATGAATCTGTGTGAGTTCTGTTACTAAGATTTTAAATATTAATAAACGTGTAAGATAAAGATGTCTAAGTTACAAGAAAAATGTATTTTGAATTTGTGTACAATATTAATGGATAAATTGGTTTTACAGCGTGTATTACGACCCCTTCTTAGCAGCGGCAGCGACGGCAGACTCTAATTACAGACTACAGGTAAATACATTGCTATCACAGTTCGCTTCCTAACACCGCGTACAACATAACTTTGATAACCATTGACTGAGTGATGTAAGCAAGTGTCGGTGACCGTGTGTGTTGTTGCAGGCCGCGAAGCCCGCAGTCGAGGTAATCCGTCCGTTTAGAGCTCACTCGATATGTGAATATATATCTGTTTACTATCGCTTCCTAAATCATGTCCACCGCGCTACTTCTGTTTGACAAAGTCGTTGTGTTGTGTGCTGGGACTCGGTCACTCTTGATCTATCCGTCTAGCTCCGGTATACCACCGCCTCGCAAGGTGCACTGTTTGTGGTGACAGGTGGCAGTCGCCGGCAAACTATCAGCTTTATTCATGCTGAATTGGTAGTTGTGTGGTGAGCGGTCTTACGTCATCACGCCCCAAATAGAACTTTAAACCCGCGACACTACATCTCATCATTTTCTCAGTAAACCTAATTTTGTCTATGTAGATCTTGTGAAGGAGTCATCCCAATGTAGTTTGTGCCATGATTTCTCCATTTTTAGTATTACTGCATGATTGTCGAGAATTTTATCATATTGTATGTCATTTTTCTGAAGCAATATGTTTAGAGTTTGTAACTTGCCGCATAAAAGATTCACGGGTATACAGGAACCGCGAGAAAAACGGTGCATGATTTTTATAAATTACACGTAACGCAGTATTTTTATTTTGTATTTTAGTTTTGGTTTGTGTGTACAGTCGCTTTGTATTCCGGCTAAAGAATGTCTATAGAACACGTAAAATATATTGTGAAGTGATTTAAATATAATCTTGCTACGCTATGCATTGATCCATCATAACTAAACGAAACCTGCCGTCGCCAATGGCGCTGCACTCGGTAAGAGAACACAACTAATAGTCTTCGTGTATTGATGTCTACCAGTTCAACTCACTAGATTTTACTATAATAATTTACATACAGTAAATGGTTCCATCAGTCATTTGGTTGTCATTTTTTCTTGTGTGCATAAAAATAAATATGTATAAGAAATACGTTCAATAGATAAAATATGCCCTCTTTAGTTTTTCCTTGGTACGGGAATGCGAATAGTCTGTAGTATGTGGCCTCCGGCAGTCATCAGACGAAATGCGGAAATACTTCCACTTGTCACATGCGTTTCATGTGGTCCGGGGCTTTATATCGGTCTAACAAAGTTAAATCGGCAAGTCGATTGGACTGTAGCATAAATGTGTACAGGCAGCGGC